CATAATAATTATTACGGGTGGTTGGTGAAAAAGAAGTGAGAAGATCGTTCTAACCAATCTTCACCCAAGCTAATTAGAAGAAATTAAACTAATGCTGTGCCACTCCCCGGCAACGGCGCCATTTGACAGTTGTAGTTTTTTGGGTAGTAAACCTTCCGAGTAAAGGGTTAGTTTTCTCTCCGAGTGTCGTGTCTCTCGAGGAGTGGACGAAGGGAATTAGTTTAATTACTCTAATTAGGCGAAGATTAGGATTGGTTTATGAAAGTCTTCTCGAAACGATTATAAAAGGAGCAGGGTAAAAATAATAAATTAAGTTTACATAGTATAAGTATAGATCTGGACCTAATGTCTGGACATCATTTGGATTTATTTTGTCATATTAAATTAACAATTGGAATAATAATATTTTTATTACTACTCATCCATTTCTAGATTTGTACTTAATCCGTTGTACTTGAATATCATAGCCTTTTGGCATACAATATTTTCTCAATAAATGGCCAATTAAATCTTTCGAGTTTAATTAACCAAATAAGGAAAGAACAATAGATTAACCATTCCAACATTAATTTAACATAAAAAATAAACAACCAAACTAGTCCGGACTCAGAGATCCGGACCCTAACTCATACTATGCAAACATAAATTAAAACAGCATTTTATTAAATAAAGAAAACTTACAACTTCCGTAAAAGTGGAACAGAACAGATCGGGAGTCAAATCCTCCGGAAAATACTTTAAAACAATAACTAATCTAATATACAATGAAATATTGAGCAAATTGAAGGAGAAAACCCGAAATGGGTTGTGAGATGGTGAATGGAATGGTGGAGATCGCGCTGCTTTTATAGGGCAGGAAGTACAGGCGTCCAACTCCTTGGGCGTCCAACCTTGGACGCCCAGGACCCTAATCCAGCGCCCATTTTGCTTCCAATTGCGGTCTCTCGTGATTTTGGGCCCAAAGTTGTTTCGTATCGGCCCAATTGGCTCCCGGAGAATAATTTCTACCTCCAAAGTATTATGATCTTTAAAATCTAAAACTTTTTATCCAATTTGTACATAAAATTGACAAATCCACACTACGTCAAAAATAGATGCTGACAACTGTTCTTTTTAGTAGTCTAACTGTGCTAGTTTCAGTAGTCTTCCGAGCAGCTGTATGATATATTTACAGACTACTGTTTAAAAACAATTGTGTAATATGGTTGGCAACACCTATTTTGTGATGTTTTAGAGTACATGTTCTTGAAGTTGTCCTCGCATGAGTAAGACATCTGTTTTCTGAAGTTAAAGACAACTGTGATGTTTTGTTGTCTATCTATAATGAATATAACTGTTGTTTTCGACTTCAGACTCCTATTGCGTGGTGTTGTCGTTCAACACTATAGACATCTTATTTCAAAAGTAGTTGAAAGATATATCAGACTGCTGCTTGGAAGACTACTAAACAAAACTAGCATTAGACAACTGTTATCTTGTGTTATATTTCTAAAATGTAGAATACTAATTTTCTTGTATTTTAAACAATTGTTTCTTTCACTTGTATAGTGCTCAATAACACTACGCTTTTTTGTAGTTGTCCTTGAAATATTCAAACTATCTTTTTACACAGTAGTCAGATTGTAAATCAGACTACTGCTCCGAAGACAACTAAGTATGTTTGCATAAGACAACTGTTATTCTGTGTTGTATTTGTAAAATATAAACAACTATCTTTGTTGTATTTCAAACCACTGTTTATTTCTATTGTCTAACGTTTATTAACAGTATAGTTTGTGTAGTTGTCCTTTAAAGATTTAGAAAACTGTTTTAATACATTGTAAAGCTGTTTGAAAGACTACGAAATTTCAATTTACATTTATATTTAATAAATAAAATTTATTTCAATTCCAAAAATAAATTCTAAAATGTAGAATATATTGAATAATATCTAAATACATACAATCTAAGTCTAAATAGCATCCAATAATTTAATATTTACATAATTAAGATCACACTCTAAATATCCATTCAGCATGCCTAATTTAGTTATTTGTCCCCTCAATAACATTTTTGAATACATCTCTTGCTCTAGCAACATTTTCTTGTAAAGCATCCACTTTAGTCATAAATCTGCATACCATTAAATAATTAATATTTGTTGATAAGAAGAAAGAATTCATAACAAAAATACTTGAAACTTTTTGGAGTTATTTGCTACCTAATACCTCCAAAGTAGTTCATATGCATCTATTTAACAATTGAAGTTCATAATTCAGCTTAGGAATCAAGCAAAGCTGCAGATTTTTCTAAATAAAAAATAATTCAGTTTAGATTTTAGTCAAAATCAACACTTAAAATTCAAAAATCAATATATAAACACAATGTCATGCTTCTACCTATGGTCTATAAGCAGGATGTATCAATGATAGTCAAAATCAACACTTGTGCTTGGATTGGTGTGGGAGAAGTGAATCCAGCAAAACAAAGCTGCAGGAAAAATATAAACATAATCCATACCAACAAAACATAATGTGGAGAACACTCTTGGACGTGCATGGATAATATTAGAAATACAAGCCTGAGATTTCAAAAATGGATCCAAACATTGAGAACGATTAAATAATAATAATAAACTAAATTGAAAAATGAACAAGGATCCAAAATAAGGTTTGAAGTAATGCAGCTGCTTACAGAAGCAACTCAAGGCAACAAAATAGAGCAATTAAAACAGAGGATGCAGAGCCAATAAGCTAGAAATTCCAGTCACATATATTGTTATTTGGATGAAGGGCCAACTAACCTTCAAGAAGCTATGCATGAGGCTTCAACTATCCACTTTGCAGCCTCAAAAAACTCAATATACTGGTTGTGGAAGTGTATGAGCATGTCATAGCAATACAACGTACGACATGTGCTCCTCCTCCGGAGCAGATATCGCATCGCACCTGCGACAAGTGACAGCTGTTAAGCTTAATGCATCTATAAAATATAAATATTACACAGATCCAGAAAGAGTTAAAGAGTCACTCTAGCACAGTAGGTCTCGTCTGTAGGTCCAATGTCAAGGATAGTACACTTACATCTCTGAGTATTTTTGGAGGAAAACCAGTAGCCTCAAATGTGATGAACGGATCCGTAACGTATTCACCCTAGATAACAGAATAGTAGGGAATCAATGTCAATTGGAAAAATAAACTGAATCCAAAAGGAGGATGAATCGTAGACTTCATGAGATGAAAGCAACGTGACTTTAAGTACACGGATCACTATCTGTAACAGCTTTGAAGTTTAAATATAGCAAGATCCAAGTATGTGCAAAATCATGTTTTTCTCATAACATGCTAAGATTGCAAACTAAATCACAAGTAATAAAGTGCATGAAGGTGAAATGATAAAATGATGTGGGGAGATCAAAATAAATATCACACTGGAAATAACGTTTGAGCATTACAATTCTATGAGAATGAGGTGCATTTACAAGGCCTCATGGCCGAAATATATAATGCAAAACAAGGGAAATTACACTTTACTTTCCTACAAATCATTTTGATTAATATCCTTGTATTGTTAATCTTAGTGGGCAACACTCATTGTCCAGGAAAAGGAGGTTAAAAGGCTGGGAGTTTTGGCTTAATATGAATCATTAATTCCTGCCATGTGAGAAGGGAATCAAGGAAAGTTGTAGTTTTGACAATTAAGGATAATATGACAAAGTTTGCACTATTTAATCAATGGTTTTGGTTCCTTGATGTTTTTATCCCTATCCTTGGTAAATGGAGTTGTGTTTATGGATATTTGGAGTGGGAAATTCGGCCATATGCTGAAGGGAATGAAGGGGATTGGTTTTTGAACAACAAGACAAAATAAGCACTATTCAATCAAGGAAAACTTTTTCCTGATTTTGTTTTTGTTTTGTGAATTGAATTTTGTCTTGATCAAATCATAATGTGGCCTGATTTTTGGGTAAAACACTTGGGAAATTCGTGGGTTTGATGTAGGGAAGTGAAAGGAAGGTTTTATTTTAATTAAAGGGAACAAAAGAAGTAGAAACATTACACAAGGTTTGTCCTTCTGACCTCATTTTTGTTCAGGGCTAAAAAGGAGAGAAAAGACTTTATTTTGTTCATTAAATGAAAATAAAAGACTTTGGATATTTTGGGAAGGATATGGAACGGTTTGATATCAAGAAAGGCTTTGGAGGAGAAAGGTTTTGGTTTGGGTTTTAGGGTACGAAAGGTTAATGAGTTTAGCCCAAAAAGGATCATAACACTTAGATATTAACCCTTTGATTTGTTTTATGGTTTGTGGTGTAACCTCCGTGCTTGTAGGAGCATCCCGGGGTACATCATCCTCCCCTTCTTCAGGAGAGTTTGACCTCAAACTCGGAATATATTCGGGTTTAAAGTACGGGCTGAGATCCGTGACATTGAACGTGGCTGAAACTCCATAGTCTCCGGGCAGGTCTATCTTGTATGCATTGTCGTTGACCTTAGCTAAAACTTCGAACGGACCATCTCCTTGGGGAAGAAGCTTGGACTTGTGTTTTGAGGGAAAACGCTTTTTTCTAAGGTGGATCCACACAAGATCTTCGGGCTGGAAATCCATTTTCTTGCGTCCCTTGTTGATCTTTTCACTGACACGCTCATTCATCTTTTCTATTTTTGCTCGGACCTTGTTGTGAATAGCTTGTATCTCCTGAGCTCGTTTCTCTGCTTCTCAACTGTACTTTGTATCTGTTAAGATTTGATTAAGATCAAGTGGGGTAAGGGGATTAACACCATAAACACTAACAAATGGTGACACGCCTGTTGTTTTGTTTGGGCGGCGGTTGTAAGCAAATTCAAGCCATACGAGATTGGCCCGTTCCCACGACTATGCAGCAAGTTAGAAGCTTCCATGGCCTTGCATCCTTCTATCGGCAATTTGTGAAGGACTTTAGTACGATCACTTCCCCCCTCACAGACTTGACAAAAAATCCGAAGTTTGAGTGGAACCCGAGGGCCCAACAAGCCTTCGAAGCAATCAAGGATCGCTTAACGCATGCCCCAGTATTGGCCCTGCCCAGTTTCGAGAAGTTGTTCGAGGTGGAGTGTGATGCATCGGGAGTTGGCATCAGGGCTGTCCTAACTCAAGAGGGACACCTAGTTTCCTACTTCAGTGAGAAGCTCAATGACACACGGAGACGCTATTCTACCCACGATAAAGAATTCTATGCTTTGGTATGGTCTCTTGAGCATTGGCGACACTATCTCGTGAGTAAGGAATTCATCCTTCACTCCGACCATGAGGCGTTGAAGTACATTCAAGGGCATCACAAGCTTCGGCCCCGTCATGCCAAATGGGTTGAATACATTCAAACCTTTACATTCACCATCAGGCACAAGAACGGGTCCATGAATAAAGGCGGGGATGCATTATCCCGGAGACACTTATTACTAACGGTACTTAGTACCAAACTTCTTGGCTTTGAATTTTTGCAGGAACTCTACAAGGATGATGAAGATTTCAAGGAGATGTATCCCCAATGCTTATCTCGGCCCCATGGAGATTACCTAATCAAAGATGGTTACCTCTTTCGTGGTAATCAACTGTGCATCCCGAGGAGCAGCGCTCGTGAAACCCTGATAGACGAGGTCCATGGTGGTGGACTAGCCGGTCATTTCGGGATCAACAAGACTTATTTGATGATGAAAGAACATTACTTCTGGCCCAAAATGGAGAGAGACGTCGAGCACTTCATCAAGAGATGTCACACGTGCCAACTTGCAAAGTCCCAAGCCTTACCCCAAGGAATGCACTTACCCTTGCCCGTCCCGTACGCCCCGCGGGAAGATGTTAGCCTGGATTTCATTACCGGGCTGCCCCGAACTCAACGAAACAAGGATTCCATAATGGTGGTTGTGGATAGGTTCTCAAAGATGGCCCATTTCATTCCCTGCGTTACTACATACGATGCTTCCCAAGTAGCCGATCTCTACTTCCGAGAGGTCGTTAAACTCCATGGCATACCCCGCAGCATGGTCTCTGATAGGGATCCCAAATTCCTTAGCCATTTTTGGATGAAACTGTGGAGAAAGCTAGGCACAAAGCTCAAATTCAGCACTGCTAGCCATCCGCAAACTGATGGTCAAACTGAGGTCACCAACAGAACGCTTGGAACTCTCCTTCGAGTTCTAATCAAACGAAACATCAAGCAATGGGAAGAGCTACTGCCGCACGCCGAGTTTGCCTATAACCGAACCCCAAACAACACCACAGGACTATCCCCCTTCATGGTGGTCTATGGCTCGAACCCCCTCACCCCACTTGAGCTTGATCCCATCGTAGGAAAAGAGCAATACAGTTGGGCAGCTGATCAACGGTCCAAGGAAATTCAAGAACTCCACGAAAAGGTTCGAGAGAAGATTTAAGCGGTAAATGAGAAAGTTAGTAACAGGATCAACAAAGGAAGAAAATTCACAAGTTTTCAACCCGGCGACTTGGTTTGGATTCACTTAAGGAAAGAGCGTTTTCCCGCTAAACGTAAGTCCAAGTTATTGCCAAGAGCCGACGGTCCATTTGAGATTTTAGAGAAGATCAACAACAACGCCTACAAAGTCAATTTGCCTGGAGATTACAGAGTTTCTGCTACATTCAACGTTAAGGACCTCAGTCCGTATTTTGTGTAACGCCCTACAACCCGGTCTAATAGAATTGATTAATGTAATAAATTAATTACTGTTCCAGACCAGAGTTGGGGAAAATAAAAGTTCTTAGAAAAATTATTTGATCACATCATTAAATTCGTCTTGACTGTCTGATTCCTGAAATGCGAATGGATCTCAATTCGGACTCGTTCGGGGGGAAAAGCGCGTACCGTTCAGGTCAGATTTTTATTTGGCGGAGTAAGTGAATATTTGTAACCCCCCATCATTTCACTCGGCCAGCCACTCTCTCTACCATTTCTCAAAATAAATTCTCTCAATATTCTTCTTTAATTCACCATAATGGGCACCATTATAAGTTACATCCCCTCCTTTCACTCATTACACTTTTGTAACCTCCCACAATCATCATCACCATCCATCTTCTTCTCCTTCTTGTTCGGCAAGACCAGCAGCCAAGGTAAATCTCCGGCGAAGCTCCGGCGAGTGCAAGGTTGAAGCAGAAGAAGGGCTAGGTCGTTCGTGCGAAGCGTAGTCGTTGTTCGCCTGTTCGTTAGCGTCGTTCGTTCATTCCGTGGTTCACCGTCAAACCCTTCGTTAGAGGTGTGTACGTTGCCCTCTAACTTTAGAATTCATAGTATAATCATATCGTTATGTTCATAGGATTACCCGGCTAAACCTACGCGCATCCACGTTATCATGACTCTTCGTTAGTTAGACCTTTCAACTTTGCATTTGATAGCATAATCGTTAAGAACCTTTACAAATTCATTAATTACTGAAGCCGGAAACATAAACGTTCAACTCTAAAACTCTTAACGTATTGATGAAAACCCAACAGGCAAAATAGGAGTCGGCGTGCCTTAACAATTGATTCACAAAACATGACAATCGATTATTGGGTCACGCAGAACTCCTTGGTTAAACCTGCAAGCGTGATAATCGATTATCACAAAGGTCATAATCGACTATTAGGCCCTGCAGGTTCTGGGTCAGAGTTTGGTTTCGCTGATAATCGATTAACGCCATGTACTAATCGATTATCAAGCCTCTCTGAACTTGGATTCCCCGAACAAACAAACATGACAATCGATTGTCACAAAGTGACAATCGACTAACGCAAGCTGCAGGACTTTGGGAACAGAAGCTGCATTGCGAGATAATCGATTATCAGGAAGGGGTAATCGATTATCAGCCAGTTCTGAACCCAGGACATCCTTTCTGTGCAAATCATTTCTTATGGAATCAAACGTACAAAATATGTGCTAAATTTCGTAATGCATTCATACCAACATGAATATCCTTGACGCATGTTTAGGATCATGGCATACTTTGCATACCGCGACAAGAGGTCAGGCCCAGTGCGCCTCTTCCGCGGGCCCATTCTGGAGCCTACGGGTCCAGCGGGTTCACATATCGAGGGCTTGTGTACGTACATGGTAGCTAGGCTTGGCTATCACCCACATTGCTAGTCTCCAACGGGACGACTAAGTCGTTCCTCGGCTCATCTACCGCGTGGGGATGGTCACCGAAGGGCAGGGGTGTCCCTGCGTAGTCTAACCCATGCATCATGACCACTTGGCATTGCATCATTGTTCATTAGTGTCTCTTGTTGTGGATTACCACTCAGCTTTTGCTGAGCGTATAGCGTTGTTTCATTTTGCTATACGCAGGTAGGCCAGAGGATCATGGAGCCTGACCCGGACGATTGGGTGATCGGAGCGGCGGATGAACGGCATTGGAGACTTGTTTAATTTTCCATTTAATTATGAAAATGTTTTGGGCTTGAACCCACCGTTAATTATGTCTCCATCATTAAATAATATTTACATCAAGGGTTTTCAGTTACAAGCAACGCAAGAGTTTTTCTTTGTAAACGGCCTTAAAAACCGTCTATGTAACCTCTCCGGCTCGTTGGACCGCGGTGAACTGGGTTTGCGGGTTGGAGGGTGTTACATTTTGGTATCAGAGCCTGGTTCTAAAAAAAAGTTGAAACCTATTTCTAAAAAAAAACATTTCCTCCAGGGTCCACTGTCGCATCCCGCTTCGTATCTCCATCGGGAAAGGTAACCATTATCATTGTAGTTGTTTATTTCTTAACCCTTATAGGAAATCTCCTTTCAGAAAGGAGATGAGTCAGGCTACTGAGCATGGACAAGTTGGTCCTCAGGGAGAACAGGAGCACGTGAGCGTGCATACCGAGGCGTCTAGCTTCACCCCGCAGCAGGAGGTTCCGGAGCCGCAGGTTCCGCAACCAAATGCTGTACCTCTGGCGGTTCCTTTCTTGCAGCCGCAAATGGCAGCCAACATGCTCCAGTTTCTCCAGCAAATGGCCGGGGCGTACGTACCACCACCACCGGAGGCGGCACCACCGCCGCCGCCGCCTCCGGTGGTTGTGGTCACTATAGAGAAGCTGAAGAAGAACGGAGCCGAGGAGTTCCGTGGCGACCAGATCGCAGAACCTATGATCGCGAAGCGCTGGCTTGAGCGCGTAAGTCGAGTACTTGGAACCATGCGGGTTCCGACAGAGCAGAGGGGCGACCTAGCCATCGACTTGCTTCAGGATGCTGCATATGACTGGTGGAAGCGCGTGAGGGCGAACGTCCCGGAGCCGGTGCCATGGGCGACTTTTGATGAGCTGTTCCGTGAGGAGTATGTGCCGGAGCACTTTATGGAGGAGAAATGCGATGAGTTCATGAAGTTCACTCAGGGTGAACTTACGCTGCCAGAGTACCGCCAGAAGTTCGATGAGCTGGCCGAGTTTGGCCGAGACATGGTGCCGATGATGGAGAAGCGATGCAAGCGCTTTAGAGAGGGGTTACGCCCAGATTTGTCCTCCGGGCTGGTCTCTACGCCTAGGAATGACATCAACGATCTCTATAAGCAGGCGTTAGAGATGCAGGCGGCCTTATTCAAGAAGGCTGAGTATGAGCAGGCCCAGAAGATGCATCCTCGTCCGCCACCGTCACCCAAGCCCAGCTCAAGTAGTAAGAGGCCTCCTCCCGTGCCGAGCAGCTCGCACACGAGCAAAAAGGCGAAGTTTGCACCAGCCCTGTGATCAGCGCCCACTCAGAGGAGTGGAAAGAGTCAGAGCCAGGGTGGGTATCGGAATCCGCCCTACAATTCATGTGGCCGAAGGCACTCCGGCGAGTGTTGGTTTACTCAAGGCTTATGCCTTGGGTGTGGACAGGCTGGGCATTTCCGTAGGGATTGCCCGATGAACCCTGGTGAGCCGTTCCCGACAGCGACTCCAGCCGCAGCTTCAGCTGCAGCAGCTCAGCCCGCTTCGAGCCAGAAGTCGGTAGCGGCATCTAGTCAACCGAAGAGGCCGGCGCAGAGCGCACAGTCCGGGAAGGCTCCAGCCCGTACCTATGCGATGCACGGACGCACTGAACAGCCTCCGACGTGATTATGGGTATGTTCACTTTATTCGATACATGCGTATCTGCTTTGATTGATCCAGGTTCTACATTGTCATATTTATGTACGTTTATGCCTCCCGTGTCGAACATCTCGAGAGAGAACCTGGAGAATCCGGTCGTTGTGTCCAACCCGCTGGGACACAGTCTACGTCTCAACCATATTTACTTCAACTGCCCATTAGGGGTGCAAGGGAAGAGTTTCCCTGCAAATTTGATCGAGCTTCCACATCGGGAATTTGACGTTATTCTGGGTATGGATTGGCTCGCGACCAACCAAGCTGTGGTTGACTGTGGTGCACACACTGTACGGCTGAAAGCCGAAGACGGTAGCGAAGTACTAGTTCACGGTGAGCTATTCCTGAAAGCTCCCGAATTCCTTTCCTATATGCAAGCTCGTCGTCTCATACGCAGGAAGTGCGAGGCGTTTCTGTGCACAGTCCGCAACACGCAGCTAGAGGCACCTGGACGGGAGGAAATCCCTACGGTGTGCGAGTTTTGAGACGTATTTCCAGATGAGTTACCAGGATTACCTCCCCCGAGGGAGGTAGAATTCTCTATCGACATGGTTCCGGGAACAGTACCCATCTCCATCACACCCTATCGCATGGCCCCAGCGGAGATGAAGGAGCTGAAAGCTCAACTGCAGGAGCTCTTTGATAAGGGTTTCATACGTCCTAGTGTGTCCCCTTGGGGCGCACCAGTCCTGTTCGTTCGCAAGAAGGACGGCTCAATGGGGCTGTGCATCGATTACCGTCAGCTGAACAAAGTCACTATCAAGAACCGCTATCCTCTTCCTCGCATCGATGACTTGTTCGACCAGTTGAGAGGAGCCACAATCTTCTCTAAAATTGACCTGCGATCAGGGTACCATCAGATTCCGGTCAAGAAGGAGGATATTCCGCAGACAGCGTTCCGCACCCGCTATGGTCACTATGAGTTCACGGTGATGCCATTTCGTTTGACCAATGCACCGGCTGTTTTCATGGATTTGATGAATAGTGTGTTCCGTAAGTACCTTGATCAGTTCGTGGTCGTTTTCATCGACGACAACTTGGTGTACTCTAAGACGCGTGAAGAACACACGGGGCATTTGCGCACAGTACTCAGCATACTGCGGGAACAGAAACTTTATGCCAAGCTGTCCAAATGTGAGTTTTGGTTGCACGAGGTCACCTTCCTCGGCCATGTCATCACGGCCGAAGGAGTGAAGGTGGACCCGTGTAAGATCTGGTCGATCACGGAATGTAAGGTTCCACGCAATGCACGAGAGGTGAGGAGTTTCCTCGGGTTGGCAGGATACTATCGCCCATTCGTGAAGGACTTCTCAAGGATAGCATCACCACTGCATAAGTTGATGAAGAAGGATGTGAAGTTTGACTGGACCGAGGCTTGCCAGCGCAGCTTCGAGAAGCTGAAGGAGTGTTTGACCCGGGCACCCGTATTGGTACAGCCGACTCCTGGAGTGGAGTACACGGTTTACAGCGACGCTTCACACAATGGCCTAGGGGGTGTGTCCTTATGCAGGAGGGTAAGGTCGTAGCTTATGCGTCTCGACAGTTGAAGCCGCATGAGTGCAACTACCCTACACACGATCTAGAGTTAGCGACGATTGTTCTTGCTCTAAAGATTTGGAGGCATTACTTGTATATTCACCGATCATAAGAGTCTACAGTATCTTCTGAGCCAGAAGGATTTGAATCTACGCCAGCGGAGGTGGTTGGAGTTGATTAAGGACTACGACTGCCACATTGCTTATCACCCCGGTAAGGCGAACGTGGTGGCCGATGCTCTTAGTCGCAAAACTCTGGCCGTACTCGGAGTTCAGCCTACATTGTTGCATGAGATCGTGACGGCTCAGAGGAGCGATGATTTTTGCAGGCAGACCTGTGAACTCGTCTCGCGGGGCGAGAAACCCGATTTCTTCGTCCGGGGGGATGGTGTTTTGTTGTATCGGGATCGGGTGGTTGTGCCAGCGGGGGAAGTAAGGGAACGTCTCCTTCGCGAAGCACATAGTACGGTATATACCATGCACCCCGGTAGTAACAAGATGTTCCAGGACCTCCGGAAGCACTACTGGTGGCCTGCGATGAAGAGGGAAATCACAGAGTTTACGACGCGGTGCTTGACTTGCCAACAGGTTAAGGCCGAGCATCCGGTTCCGAGTGGGTTACTACAACAGATTACAATCCCTGAGTGGAAGTGGGATCGTATCACTATGGACTTTGTAGTGGGGCTACCTTTATCACCTCGCAAGAATGATACAGTTTGGGTCATTGTGGACCGTCTGACTAAGTCCGCTCATTTCCTTCCTATACGACGGGATTCCTCTTTACAGCGGCTGGCGGAGCTTTACATCCGCGAGATTGTACGTTTACACGGAGTCCCTTCGTCTATCATCTCGGATCGCGACCCACGTTTCACATCACAGTTCTGGAAGATCCTACAGAAAGCCTTGGGCTCTGACCTTCATTTCAGTACGGCCTTCCACCCGCAAACGGACGGTCAGTCCAAGAGGGTTATCCAGATCCTTGAAGATATGATGCGCGCATGCGCAATCGACTTCGGGGTGGCTGGGAACGTTACCTACCGTTGATGGAGTTCGCATACAATAATAGTTATCAGGCTAGCATCGGTATGGCGCCGTACGAGGCTCTGTACGGTAGGCCGTGCCGGACTCCTACCTGTTGGATGGAGCTCAGCGAGAGGAAGTTGGAAGGACCAGATCTAGTTCGTGAGACTGAGGAGAAGGTCCAGGTGATTAAGGACCGACTTAAGGTGGCATCGGGCCGACAGAAGTCCTACGCCGACCTTAAGAGGCGTGACATTGAGTATGCAGTTGGAGACAAAGTCTTCCTGAAGGTATCTCCTTGGAAGAATGTCCTACGTTTCGGAAAGAAGGGTAAACTTAGTCCCAGGTTTATAGGGCCATACCCAATCATCGAACGGGTGGGGCCTGTAGCCTACATGCTCGAGTTACCATCTGAGTTGAGCAAGATTCACAATGTGTTCCATGTGTCTATGCTCCGTAGATACCGGTCAGACCCTTCACATGTGATTTCCGCAGATACCGTTACTCTCGACGAGAACCTTACCTATGAAGAAGAGCCGGTTGAGATTCTGGCTCGCGAGACCCGCCAGCTGAGGAACAAGACCATTCCGTTGGTCAAGGTTCTGTGGAGAAGTCACACCGTTGAGGAGGCGACATGGGAAACCGAGGAATCCATGCGCACTCGTTATCCACATCTTTTCAGTGACCAGTGATCAGGTAAATTTCGAGGACGAAATTTTCTTAAGGGGTGGATAGTTGTAACGCCCTACAACCCGGTCTAATAGAATTGATTAATGTAATAAATTAATTACTGTTCCGGACCGGAGTTGGGGAAAATCAAAGTTCTTAGAAAAATTATTTGATCACATCATTAAATTCGTCTTGACTGTCTGATTCCAGAAATGCGAATGGATCTCAATTCGGACCCGTTCGGGGGAAAAGCGCGTACCGTTCAGGTCAGATTTTTATTTATCGGAGTAAGTGAATATTTGTAACCCCCCATCATTTCACACGGCCAGCCACTCTGATGTACCCCTGGATAACTCCACCAAAATCCAAACTCTCCCAATATATCCAAAAGTTTTCTTTCTTTTCTTTTATCCAAAATAAAGTGTTTTCCATCCATTTTAACCCCTCATCGAAAATAAAAGCCAAAACCTTTGTTTCTTGTTTTTGTCTTTTCAAAAACCTTTTACCCAAATAATGCCTTCCCTTCTTTTCTTCTAATCCTGATTCTGAACCCCTAAATAATCGATTATCCTTAATTGATAATCGACTATTGAAGTCCGCATATTCTTCTTCAAAGTCCATAACTTCTCATAATCGATTGTCAATAACTTGATAATCGATTATCCTCACCCTCAGAAAATATGCAGTTCCAAATGAGTCCTTGTAAATCGATTGTCTTGTAGTGTCAATCGATTATCGAGTTCCTCAGAACATTCCCAGTTTGAGCTAAACTCAATTAATCGATTTACTAAATGTGCTAATCGATTATTCCTACGTCTCTGAACCCTGAGTGAATGAGTGAATCAGTTCCTGTTTGCTCATCCTAAGATTGGATATAAAGCTGAAATTATCCCCTGATTTTTAACAAAGAATAAAGTCTTTTGTTTCACAAAGCA